TAATTAATATTCATAAAATTATCCTTGTGACATAACCACACCCACAAATAATTAGTTAACGCCCATTTATATTTTATAATAATGTTAATGAATGAAGAGATATTTAAGGATCAAGATTCATTAGTAATAAGGCCTCCTAAGGTTGTTCTAAAGAAAAAGAAAGTTTCAAACAATAGTATTGTTTTAATTTTACAAGTGGATTAGGTCGGAATCGATAAGCAAGCATCATTCTTTTTCTAAACACATCAAACTCGTCATCTCAATCTTTAGCATCACTGGGTTTACTCATGCCTACTACACCACTATGATCAACAGATACATTATCTCTAACAAATGAAAAAATTAAAAAGCAAAAAGACAATTTCATGTTAAATATCAGTAAAACAGTATTAGTGTCAGTAAAACAGTAGCCAGCACAATATCTATTGTTTTATTCAAGGTTTTATTCAATTGTTTCTGTAAATAGTGCGTCATATTTGAACTCCTTCATTGGACTCTTGAACTTGTAGCATGTTACAAAATCAATAGTAGCTTGACAACCACCCTAGATATCAGAAAGACAAAATTATTGTTTATAAGCAACTAAGAATATACATAATGTTATAAAGGCAAGATGCCATCAGTTACAAGCAGTATCACCTAGTTTATATACACAAAGGATAGCTATGTGTACATCTACATGTACAAACTTTCCAATTTTAATTTTTAATTTCACACTATAACTGCACAAGATAATATCTATCACTTGATAAAAATTACATACAGATATGATAGTATCATCATCATGTCTATCTGAGAATAGGTGTGTGATTGAAACCATGCAGGAATTAGACTTACAACAAGGTATAGGAAGATGGCACCCCATAACTCGTGATTTGGAATAAGCTCTTTTTCTTTCTTCCCTCTAATGGCCTGGACAAAAACACCAACAGAAATATATAGAGCAACCACACCAAAGAAACTGAAGGAGAGAGAGAGAGATAAATAAAAAAACAACGCCTTGCCTCCCCATTAACTTTCTCTTTCTCTAGTCCAGCCCTCTCTCATTCTATAAGTGCATGTACACCTCACGTTGCTATTAATATCCAGCCAACCATTGAGGAGGGTGATAAAGTTGATGGTGATGAAGTTGATGGTGATGAAGTTGATGGTGAAGTTGATGGTGATAAGGTAGGAGATGAAGAACCATTATTGCAGGCACCAGAATAGTTAAATCGAACAATATACTATACAAAGAAAAGTTGCACAATAAAATAGACACAATAACCATACAGAACATGAATGAGCAATATTAGCAGAGGCATATTTAGTGGCAGCTTATGACTTACCTCACAGTCTTTAAACGTTGGTTCAGCTGTTATAAACTGAGTGATATTTCCAAGATTAGTATTATGATCAAAAGTCCAAACAGCATCTTTGCTGCATGTGAATACTAGCGTGGAGAAGAGGCCATCAGGACAGTCTGTTGTGTTACTACCATGACCATATGTAATGGTGAAGCCATCACCACCATCATCTATTAAGAAAGAGATTTAATAATTTTTTTATTGACACAATTACTTTCAAAAATCTTCTGGCCTTTGTCAAACCTCCCAAAACTAACAGGATTAGAGCCACTTTGACAGAAAGCTGAGTTGTAGCACAGGCCATGTGGTATTTCTTTGCAGAAAGAAAACAAGAAACTGCAAGAGCCTTGGCCAGTGGAAGGATTATAACAGTCTTTAGCTGGTACCGTGGCTGTCCAAGCAACAGGTCTAATAGTTATCACAACAGAATCAATTACAATAATAAGGAGGAAACTGTCACTTCACCACTTACTCTGAGAGTTTTTCAATGTCGTAGCCATCAAATTTACAAAGCTGCGGATAGATTGGCTTTTGAGCAATACAGGCACCGCTGTAGTTGAGAAACATTAGGTACTGTGAGGAAAAAACGAGAGGGAAATGAAGTAAGAAGAAAATAGAGATAAGGGGAGACAGAATAAAAAGAAGGGGGGAGAGAGAAGGAGAGTACATTACCAAGCATTCATTATCAATGGCAACAAGGAATCCATTAAGGAACCGTGTGATATCAGGATCATATGAATCCCACTGTGCAGCTGGGTCACACTGAAAGAAAACAATCGTTTCTGTTTGATTGCATGCTCCAACTGCACTTCCATTTTTATAGACAAATTGAAATCCTAATGTACCATCTGCCGAAAGATAAATAATCAATAGTACTACTGTACTATGATAGATCTACACACTCAGGAATTTAACCTGAGGCAACCATACAATAGAAATACAATTAATAGCCCAAGGGAATGTGCAGGTAAGAGATTATGTAAATTACCCATTTGATTTTATTTTTGGCAATCATTACATTTATTTGGCAAACTGACAAACCCAAGTGGACAAACCATTGAAATTTTCAAGCAATACACCACATGAAATTTAAGTCACCATAATAGCATTATTATATTCAATGCTGCTATCTTTGCTGGCAATAAATGGTTGATCTACCCCACTAACATTACAATCAATACTTACTTGCTTCATGAACGATAAGCGTCTGTTTACCAGTATCGTGCTCAATGCTGGGAACTACATTAGTGATAACCTGACAGAAACCAGTATTATCAAAAGTGCTACTGCATGTATCAGGAGGCAGGGGACCACAGACTGAAAACTTGATAGTACATTTTTTGTCCGAAGTACCTCCAGCACATTGGGTTGGATCAGATATGGTAGAGTACCAGAGTGGTTGCCTACAGAGAAAGGAGGAGGGTAGCTTATCATAATAATAATAATGTGCAATCATGTAGCACGAGGCTGTACTTTTTCAAGCTAGCCACATCATATACATCGTGCTCCCCGCATATCTCAACTTGTGCAGAAGCTTTCTCCAATGAGAGAGAGATCAGCAAAATCAGGAAAACCATTCCAGCGATTCCTTTATGTAAAAACATTTTTCTTCACTTGGGCTTTGGTTGCTAATAATAATCTAATATTCATAAAAATTATCTTTGGTAACATAACCACACCCACAAATAATTAGTTAATCCCTATTATAATAATGTTAATGAATGAAGAGATATTAATTGAAGGATCAAGTTTCGTTAGTAATAAGGTCTCCTGGGGTTGTTCTAAAGAAATAGAAAGTTTCAAACAATAGTATTGTTCAATCTTACAAGTGGATTAGGTCGGAATCGATAAGCAAGCATCATTCTTTTTCTAAACACGTCAAACTCATCATCTCTCTCTTTAGCATCACTGGGTTTACTCATTCCTACACCACTATGATCAACAGACACATTATCCCTAACAAATGAAGAAAAAATTAAAAGCAAAATGGCTAGGAGGAAATTCATTATTTTTTTCTGATACATATACATGTTACTAAGTTGTGTAGCAAGTCTGAGCTGATTCCAGTCAAGCTTGGATTTTTTTACAAATTTTTACAATTGTTCCAATGCCATGTACTGTATTGTAGTGCTTGTCAGCTCATGAAGCTCATGCTGTTTAGCTCACTTAGCATGCTTTGTGGGAAACCCTGATTGTCACTAACTGTTTTATAGGTGCTTTGATGCCATCTTCATTAGATCCTAGTCCTTCTCCTTCCTTCCAGCCAGCCTTTTGCAACATCTTGTACCCAATGTTGCTCTCTGTTAGCTTCTTATCATTATAATCTGATAATTCTGTGAACAATAATACCAGTCAGGATACTATTAGTATATGCATTATGCACACATGCACAATCAGGATATCATTTCAGTATATTAACGGTAAACATCAGTATACTTTATCGACTGTCTTACCAATTTTGTCTTTGGCAGCTTTCGTCCTTTCCATAAATTTAAGAAACTCTTCCGGAGGCAGAAAATCGCCAATGAAATGTTTCCCTTGAGCAGCAGTGGTGAGTTCTTCGGACTTTTCTAAAGAAAAAAATTAAAAATTATTGCAAGATGCAATCGCACCAGCTGTCATTTCCATTTCCTTTGCTCTCATCATGTGTTCTTTCTCAGTCGAAGTAAACGTTTTAGCTTCTCTGTCAGCCTGAGGCACACCCCTTGTTGCCTTCTGAATCTCAATTGTAGCTCTGTGCAGCTAAGAGGAATTTAAAAATTTAAAATAGTGCAATTATAATTTAAAATAATAGCCATTTTAATGATAACTACTACCTCTTGCTGCTCAATTATTTGCTGCTGCACTCTTTGTATCCTTTCGTCCATATTTGGAGTGCTGAACGAGTTAATGGTTGACATCACTAACTGCTCATCTGTTGAGGGCTGACTCCAGTCGCCCCAACGACTCTTCCTCTTTGGCTTTGAAGCACCTTCTAAAACCCGAAATATTGGAAGATTTTTATCATTAGATGGTTTTTATCAATAAAATTGTGTACAATCACATACCGCTTGTGGAGGGAGCTGTCGTTTCGTTACTGGTGTTCACATTGGTCTCAGTTTCTACAGTGGAGACTACTCATATTGGAAGGTGTGATTTTTGTTATTAGGAAATGGCGTCGTGGCACCTTTTGATTTCTTGGTTCCAGGTGGGTGGAGTTTCATGTTCTTCCTTCTCCCGGGGATTGTGGGTCCAGGGGGAGCAGTGAGCTTCTTCTTTTCCTTTTCTTCTTCTTTTTTCTTTTTCTCCTCCTCTAGCTTCTTGAATCTCTCCAGAAAGTTCCCGTCATTAGAAAAAAGCTCACCTGTTTCTTCACCTTCTTTGTCAGCCATGTTTATGGGCGTGTCTTTGAGATTTTAAGAGACACGCCCAGAAAATGGCTGATAACTGAATGGTTTAATAATTATTATTAATTATAGGTGTGGTTCACAAAATGTTCTCTAGGTTTTTTCTCTCTTGCAGCAAACTAGCCTCTTCATTTGCAAGATACAATGGTCCCAACCATTATTTTAATAATAGTGTGGTCTTTAAACCACCCTCAATCCTCCAACCTGTTAGATTCGTTAGATATGGAATGGAGTATCAGCCCAACAGCTACAAGAGGAAGAAGAAGCATGGTTTCCTATCAAGACTGAGAACAAAGAATGGGAGGAAAGTCCTTGCCAGGAGAAGAGCAAAGGGAAGGAAATATCTGTCACATTAGAACTCAAGATGAAAGCAAGAACCCACCCTGTACCTGTTGTATATAAATAATTGTAAAAATCTATTCATGTCTATCTTATGGTGTAATTATTATGAATTAAAGTAAAAACTAAAAATGTAAAAATTTAAGAAAAATAAAAAATTAATGTCATGTAAGCTCCACCTATTTTGGGTGTGGTCAGCCGGCTGTCTGTCAACAAAGGAGAGGCTCTTCTTCTCTTTACTTCAGTAACAAACAACAATACTATTATGACACGTAAGTGGTTACCTTATTTATAGTTGTTGCTTTTTGGCTGTTGATGGTTTCTTTTTGAGAGAGACATGTCTTCCAATAGGTGGAAATCAGAGAGAGTTGGCAAGGCAGAAGAATGCCAAGAAACAATCAGAAATGTCGAAAAAGAAGGGATCAAGTGAGAAAGGTGGAAATAAAGGAATGAGTTTGGAAGAGCGGAGACACAGGTTAGCTATTGTATAAGTATAATTTTAGATTTGAGACTGTTCTTATGTTTGTCAGTGCATTACATGTATATAAAGCACCTCAGTCACAAAGTAATATAATGTAATCTTGAAATCTGAATCCAGCTTTATTGTTCTTATCCTGGTACTATAAGTGGTTATTATACATGTTCTATCTTTCTATGTTTCAAAAAATTCATGTTAATTATGCTGATTTAAAAATATATCCTTGGCAGTTGGTATCTTAGTTTTGATCAATTTTGAACCTGTAAAAATAACCAGCAATAGAATACGAAGTTGAGATTGGGTTAATTTCCTCATTTTATTTTCTAGAGATGCAGAAATAATGAGAGAAAAGCAGCTAAAGAAAGAAGGTGGAAAGTAGCAAAGGATCATTTTCCTATCAGCTAACTTTATGATTTATGAGCCTCTTCCAACAAACTTCATCACATAATTGAACAATAAAAACTGTATTAATTATGTTTTGTTTATTTTATTTATGTTTATGCTTTATGTCACATTGATTATTTCAAGATAAATTAATTTCGATAAAAAGTTTTATCTGTTGAAAAAAATTCATCATTACCGTAAGTATGACACGTAGATCTAATTAACAGAATACCGTATTTATCTAATAATTTTCTATTTTATGGGATAGCAAAGAAATATTTAATTTGACAGTATCGACGCTAAAGTCCAAAAATCTGGAGAAAGTCAAGTTTGAGAACCCTTTGCGATACCACCCACTACAAAAGTTTCTCGAACAGCTAGAAAACAGATGAAATGAGCTCCAGAAACTTTTTCCCGCTTCTAGTGAGGAGAGGTAAGGAGAAACTAGCCACAGTAGTATCATTATTTTGACTTTTTTGCCATAGCAACAAGACAGAGGAGAGTCCTTTATTGTCAGAGGCCGACTAGAGGAGAGGAGTTTCTTGGACACTCTCTCTATTTCCCTCTCCTCACCAGCAACTGTCGTTATCTGTCGAATGGAAATGACTGGTACCCTGGGGGTAGTAGGAATGGGCGTGGACAAAATGGAAAGGGAAATGGGGACTTTGTCTGCCCAAAGTGTGGCTCGACATTCCGTAGACCTCCGGCAGTGCTATGTGAGTTCTCGGGTTCATGGATATTAGGTTTTTAAAATTGGTTTCTCTTTTTCAGCTCAGACAAAATTCATTCAGTGTGACAGCTGCAATTATCTCTTCCTAGTCGGGCGTGGACGAGAAAAGAAAGAGAGTCGGAAGACGGAAGTTCAAAATGTCCCTTCACCTAAGAAAGTAATTTAATACATGTACTACAGTCAGAATCCTTCCTCAAATATAAATCTTGTCTCAATAATTAAGAAACCTATATGGCAGATAAAGTACAATGTATCTTAAATAGAATCCCTTGTACGAATAGGAAATATTAAATTATGTAAATTTTGTATAGAAGACTGATTTTTTATTTAAGAAACATATACATGTACATGTACATGTATATGCATGTACAGTACAGTACCTTGATATGTTATAGAGATAATTATGGCTACTCTTGTTCTGTGTTACATGTACATGTACTTTTGTAGATTTACGACTATTTGAACAAGCATGTGATTGGCCAGGAGCACGCCAAGAAAGTCTTTTCTGTCTCTGTGTACAACCACTACAAGAGGCTGAGCAATAACATGGCGTCTGGTTCGGCGAGATCATTCTCTTTTCAAGATAAAGAGACTGATGAAGAAGATCAAGTCACACAAGGTTGGCCAGTATACTGAGATATACCGAGAATACACTAAGATAGTTGCATGTGATTCAGTCATGTTTTACTAAAGTATCCAAAGTTTGTGTATGGCTTTTGTATTGAAAATTTAATTGCGTTAATCAATGTTTTGTATTACCTTGTTAGCAGTGATTTACAAATTAGATTATTTATTTTAACCGTGTACATAATGTACATTTACCTGTACATGATACATGTACATGTACTTCTACATGTAGCTTATGGGCAGAACATTTCATCAGTAGTTGAATTGGACTACGAGGACTCGGAAGAAAGCTACTCTTCTCCTCCTCCTCCCTCCTCCTCCTCCTCCTCCTCTATCTCCGATGTGAAACTAGACAAAAGTAATATTCTTTTACTAGGGCCAACTGGATGTGGTGAGTTCTGGTGTATATGTACATGTATGAATAATTCTATTAACTTGATTCTCTTTCTTTCTGTAGGTAAAACACTGCTTGCACGTACCTTGGCAAATTTTCTTGACGTTCCCTTTACCATATGTGACTGTACCTCATTAACTCAAGCTGGATATGTTGGAGATGATATTGAGAGTGTCATTGCCAAATTGTTTTATGTAAGGGAAACATCAGCCATGCATGTACATGTACATGTACAATAAAATGCATTATAACATATTCCACTGTTGTATGCTTGTACATGTACATGTACTTCGTGTAGACAAAAAACATAAAATGTATCACATGTACATGTACATGTACATGTGATACATTTGTACAGTACATGCATGTGATACATTTGTGACTTTAAACAAAAGGTTTTTTTTAGACAAAGCATTTTATTATTATTTTGTTATTTTTCTATAGGAGTCTGGTTTTAATATAGACAAAACACAGAGAGGTTGGTACTGTATATTGTTGGGATATTATTATTGGGATACTTTTGGAATATTTTAAGGATACTCTTGGGATATTAGTATAAAGCACGTTATTTTTTTAGGTATTGTATTCCTTGATGAAGTGGACAAGATTGCTTGCATGAGATCCTTTCATCAAGTAAGGGACGTTGGAGGAGAAGGCGTCCAGCAAGGACTTCTCAAGATACTGGAGGGCACTACAGTCATGGTCCCAGAGAGAAGCTCAAAGAAGATGAGAGGAGACACTGTTCCCGTCGATACAACAAATATACTGTTTGTTGGATCTGGGGCTTTCACCGGATTGGATAAGATAGTTGGAACTAGACTGAATGAGAAGGTAAGAGGGAGAGAGAGAGAGAGGGAGGTGTACATGTACATGTACATATTAGAGAAAGTATACATATTAGAGAAAGTTAGGGTTTTCCTTTTTTTCTAAAATCTTAAATGTATGTTTTATTTTCATTGTTTTGTTTTCACATTGCTCTAATTGTACATGTACATGTAGTTTCTAATATTAAAATTACATATCACACAGCACTGAGTACATGTACTGGACATACATGTACATGTAGATGTACAATGTACATGTACATGTATGCATTTTCTTTATTCTTATTTCTACATTGTAAATTAGGCTATTGGATTCGATCTTACTTCCTCTCCAAGTCTCACTCCTTCCTCATCGCCAGCAGAGGAACAACGTGAAGACGAAGAGAAAAGGGACTTTTACCTCCGCCAGGTCCAATCAAACGACCTCATGGCCTATGGAATGATACCAGAGTTCATTGGACGACTGCCAGTGGTGGTTAGCCTGAGTTCACTCAACGAGAGCATGCTAGTGGATATATTGACTAAACCCCAAAACTCATTAGTGTCTCAATACAATGTTCTGTTCAACATGGACGGGGTATGTGTATATAACTTTAGTACATCATAGCTGCACATTTCATGTACATGTACACTGAGAATTGAAACAGAACTCTCTCCTGTGTACTATTGCATATGGTCTTTGGCCTGGGTTTTTTTAGCAACTTTTAAAATTTGTAAAAAAATTCAATTTTGATTGGATTCAGCTCAAATTCTTGGAATCATTTCAATACATACATGTACATAATAATAATTATATTTAATATTGCACATGATGTACATTGCATAAGATTCTCTGAATCTATTTTATCAGGTTAAGCTCACATTCTGTGATGAAGCGCTTCAGTCAATAGCTAAACAAGCACTGGCTAGAGGGACTGGAGCAAGAGGACTGAGATCAATAATGGTACGTACATGTACATGTACATGTAATAGATGTACATGTACATGTAAACAATTTTTGAGGCCATGATCTGAAACTATACAGTACATGTACATTTGAGTAAATCATGTTTAGTTACATTGTATAATGTAGCTGACATTTTAAAAAAGAATTAAAAATGTATTAATGTGTCTCTTGGCTTCTTTTTCTAGGAGCAACTGTTGCTGGATATAATGTTTGAGATTCCTGATTCTACGATATCTGCTGTTCACATCACTCGCTCGTCAGTGGAAGATGGGACTCCACCCATTTATAAATACAGAACTGATGAACAGCAATCATCAATAGCATTACCTTCAAATGGGCAGTATCAGGTTGGATCAGCTAATTAATAAATAGCAATTTAAAAATTATTATTATTATTATTATTGATATTAATATTATTATCGGCATAATCTCTATCTTTAAAGTTCATCTTATAAAATATTTTTTCAACTTCATTTTCGTTCAGCCATTTTGGGGGCGGGGCACAAAACGACCACGCCCATCCAGAGCAGCACAACGCATACCGCATTGCATGAAGATATATTGAGAAAGTCACGAGATCTTCAATGGGATAATGAGAAGTGTCTCTCCTTCCTAATTGACAATTTTCACACCAGTCAAAATAGGTTTGGGCATCAGTAACTTGAGTATAGTCGATTTTCGGTAAAACTGGCAAAGATCTACAGCACATGTAAATGTACAATAATAATTGTGTGAAGTAGTTGTCCCTTTACTTTTCACTATGACCACCGTACTTAATGTCATTCACAATTGGGTATCCTATGAAAGGATGAGAACATGTGACTGACATGTGACAATGGTCGTACCAAGATACTGTAGGTGAGCCCTTATCTGATGAGTGACTCCGGTAACAGGCTGACATGACACTATAGAATAATCCTCTTCTTCATTGATTGAGACCCTCTCAAATAGAGTTATTGCTTCCTTACCTGTAAGAAAATACATGTACATGTATGTAGGAGAGAATATACAGTAAGGCAGGGTTTCTCACAGAATTTAGCATGGCGTTTAGCTTCTTGTTAAAGTTGCTCAAAATATTTTTTATCAAGATAGGAAGGATAGCATTCTTATTACATTTTCTGATACATATACATGTTTTATGTTGTGTAGAAAAGTTTGAGCTCATTCCGATCAAATCTTGATTTTTTGTGGATTTTTAAAGTTGCTCAAAAATCGAGCCAAAGTCCCTGTACTATAGTAAGGGTCTCGAGCCAAATTTCGCCAAAATTGAAAAGGAGAGAATTCTTCATTTTTGTAATATTTTTTGATACATAATTATACATGTTCTTGTGTTGTGTAGCAAGTTTGAGCTGATTCCGATCAAAATTAAATTTTTTATGAATTTTTAAAGTTACTCAAAAATTGGGCCAAAGTCCCTGTACTATAGTACAGGGTCTTTGGCCAAATTTTGCCAAAAATGACTAGGAGAGAATTCTTCATTTTTATAATTTTTTCTAATGCATATACTTATTTTTATGCTGTGTAGAAAGTTTGAGCTCATTCCGATCAAATTTGAATTTTTTACGAATTTTAAAAGTTGCTCCAAATGCCATGTACTGTATTGTAGTGCTTGTCAGCTCATGAAGCTCATGCTGTTTAGCTCACTTAGCATGCTTTGTGGGGAAACCCAGCATATGGATATACCCAGTAATGAATGACTACATGTACATTGTGCAATACATGTACTATTACATGTACAAGTACATAATGATGATGAAATATCCTACATACTGTGCCTCACTACAGTGTGACTAAGAATCAAAGGATTATGTCATAGACTATGTAGTCTTGTATGATTATGTTTACTAATATTCTAATAATGCATTGAGTCATCACATGTGTATTAATATTGCACTAAGGTAATTTACTAAATGAGGCTTGAAGAGAACATGTATATGTACATGCAACTCGTCTCAAACAAGACACTTTATATGACAAAGGAATGACCGCTATGCAGTCTAGCTGTGACTCATATCCTTAAAAGCAGCTGCTTATGTAATTCAAATAAATCACATGTCTCCTGATAGTCTGGAAAAGTCCATAGTCTACCCCTTACAATCACTTTACACAGGATAAGTATTGATATCATGTATCAAAGCAATGAATACATGTACATGTATACGAATGTGCATGTACATGTACATGTACATGTCTGAATGTGTGGTGTAAAATGTAAATGATTTATTATGACTATCAAATGATTAGGGCTCTTTGGATCACCTTTTTCATCTGCTTGATATCTCAAAGGAAATTGGCTCTGTCTATTTAAACATTGGTCAAGTTTAATGACACCAAGAGGGAATATGCCCTGTATGATGAAAAGAAAATAATAAAAGGAAGAAAAATGAGGGAGAGAGAAAACACTTGATGTATGTACATGTACATTACTTTGACTTTAGCTACATATTCTTTCTTTATAGCCCTGCTCTTCAATCCTTCAGTAAAGAGTGTGGCCGACTTTTTGTTTCTTCCGAATATCAGAACACCAGACACAGGCCTGTCCAACCTGTTTTAAAACTGGTTTTATCAGTCGTTTCTCTTTGCCCTCTCCTTACCTGTGAAGCGTCCTTAGTCTTTCCCCTCCTAACTCGTCAAAAAGATGAGGTCGGTCATGCTCTAATATTTTAAGAACAGTGTTCTTCTGTTTGAAGACAAAAGAACGTATTGTGATGATTAAAATAATTATCTAAAACTTCAGACTTCTATTTGATGTACATGTTTAATAATAGCTACTATAGTATATAAAAACTATATCGACCATCATGGATTATTTGCCGAGTGGCTTTGTATAGATAAAAACTTTTAAGTGCATGCACTTCCTGTCCTATTACCCTGACAGCCAAAAGCTACAATATCTAATCACTAAACTCTAAAATGAGCTTATTCTTATATCTGTTGTGTCTGATTGTTGTGTCACTTGTGTGGTGGTATTGATTCGAATTGAGGGGTCAGTTTGCAGCTGTGTATTGTACCTCCCTACCTCCCTAATTCATTCATAATGATCTAATTTCAACAGTAAATGTGTTGTTTTTCAACACTGGGACAACTCCCACCCAAAACATGCACACACCAACAAAGACAAATGAATTACCATTGTTAGTATAATGAATATATATTACACACAAAGGCACTTACATAAAATAATTCACTATTTCCACTATTATCAATTCAATACACTGTGTACATTATTATGTACATGCATGCATGCATTATTCACCCTAAAAGAGCTGACTGGATGTACCGGTATAGAAGCTGGTTTATTGACTGCTACTAGGTCATCAGTTATATCAATTACATTGACTGGATCAGATAAAACCTAACAAAATGAAAAAAATAATTATTACAAAATGGTAGCTATTATTGCAAGAAGAGGTAGAGTTTCTTAAGGAGTAACGGTAACGTGAAGTTATACATGTACATGTGGACGGTGTAATATTAATATCAAAGGGGAAGGATTTGTTGTCATGCATTAGACAAAGGTTGCATGAGTTGATATACCTCTGGTTCATGGAAATGAAATGTATATGAAATTATGTCTGATTGCTTTAGTATGCGAGCAGGAGTTGCTTTCTCTCCCGACACAAGTAGACGCCCACTGTCTATTTTCACAGGAGGATGGAAATGGAAATGGCCAATGTACTAGGATAACAGAATAATAATAATAAAATAATTGAAGTTTTAATGAAATTATTACAATAGTGTGACGATGGTAGATCACGATTAATAGTATGAGGATGAAATTTGATAGTCAGCATTGGAAGGAGTAGAATTACAAATTGATAAGAAAATAATGACATTATTATAAGTAGTGGGTTGGGCAGCTCAATCTGATTCAATTAGACACACAGTATTGATAGTAAACAGCTCGTTTCCTGAGCAATGTATCCCAACTGTACGTTCATTCAGCTCTTACGTCTTGTAGCGGTTTCCCGTGCCATTCTGGCTGCACTCTCAGCATAGCTTTATGAATGTATGGCGTAACGATTCTGTACCCATTGGCGAACGCATAGGTCATTTTATGTCACGTGGTCGTGGAAGTTAAGTTTTTGTGCAATGATTGGGTGTGGCTGATATTGCAGAAACCTATGCGTTATAGTAGCTATGCAAGTATGCATGCATTTATAAAGGAGCAGCAGATGGTAAAGCTTTATAAGTAGACAGGTGGAGCTTTCATTATTCCTTAGCTGGCGTATGGTGAATGTGTGTCTGGGGGAATTAACCGTATCTTAGTTTACAAGGAAGTAGAAATTAATGAGGTGAATACTAAAAGAATAAACACATGCCATGGTTTGCAATAACATGTAGAGCTATGGTTTAAGTAAAATTTTGTAGAGAAATCCGAGAAGATTAGAAAACTAAAGAAAAGACAGAAAGCCTTGTTTTTTTAATCATGGATTAAGACTTTGTTAGTGTACGGGGATGCACAAATTCATTATAGCGATTTGATTATGGGTGTGGCTGGATCCGGCCTTATACTAAAAATATCCTGAAAACAGCAGGCGTGGAAATTTTGTTAACAAGAGAAGCGAAAAGGAGATAAAGTGAAGATAGTGGGAAAGAACAACTTAGAAAGAAAGATATAGAAACTTTTGGAGTCAGTCATACTTGATAGTGCATAGGAATCAACTAGGAAGAATTGGCTATTAATTAAGGACACCAGAACAGTGCCAAATCGCTTTTCTTTTCACCGAACATCCTTCCCCCCTCTCTCTCTCTTTTGCTAGAGATGAGATAAGATTCCTCCAGTTAGCATCATGTCATCTAGTCAACTAAATAATTTTGGTGAGTATTCTATATGGAGAAATATAACAAAATACTTGTACATGTACATACAATAATTATAATCTGTGTTGCTACATCACTGAAGAGTAGGAGGGCAGGGATTAAAATGGTGTGAGTGGGAGAGAGAGAGGGAAAGATTATTATTATCACCTTTTTGTTCCATGTATTATCAGCATAAAAATTTCTATACATGTACGTACATGTAAGGCTGTCTCTCTCTCTCTTTCTCTCTCTCTCTCTTTCTCTATATTCTGTATCCATATTTGGACATTTGTGTACCAACTGCATGGTTTTCTATTATGTCTGTGTACATTATACGTGAACATGTACATGTACATTGTGTATTAAACATGTATATGTACGCATGTATATTATAATTAAATAATTATTATTTCTGATTTTTTTTCTAATTAGTGCTCACCCAGGAAGACTTGGATGAGGTGATCATCACACCCGAAGAGTGTTCAACTCAGGTAGGTGTGGCCCTGTAGAGATTTTGGTGATGATTTGTTACTTTTTATTTTTGCATCTGCATTTACTTTTCTCACCTCTGTTGATTTCCTCCCTTTTCTCTCCTCCTTTTATTAATTTCTCACTTCACAAGTGGGAGCAGCATATTCCTCTGTAATCCAATCTTTTCTCTTATATAATATAATTTTACTTTTGTTATTTCTCCTCACTTGTAACTGATAACCAGAAAGGCATGGAGTATCCATTTCTTTTTCTCTTCCTCCTCACTCAATCTCTCCTCTTCCTTCAATTTTCTCTGAATCACATGTATTATCCCTCATTAGCTACTAATTAATTATATCCTTGGATTAAGGCTATAGTAGTGTGATTACATGCATGCACGCACGCACACACACACACACACTCTTTCTCAGGATCAGTTATGTCTCCAGATTGTGTATGGATATAGTTTTGACTTGTACAATCATGAGCTTTTGCTATGCTCTCAGTTGTTATACATACACATCTTTATTTGTTATCATCTCTGTGTCTCAATTCCTCCCTTACTCTCTCCTTTCTCTCTCTCTCCCTCCCACTTTCTTTCTCTCTCTCTCTCTCTCTCTCTCTCTTTGTCCCAACTTTTGTATTATACTAATAGTTATCAGTTTGTCATTTTCATTCAATTTCATTTTATTCACGTGTGTTTCTTCTCTCTTTCTCTTTAGGGCAATGAGCGTTTAACAATCACATTCCCTATTCCCATACCACCTGATCCTGTAGTTGTCTTCCTCCATGGATCCATAAAGACTCACAAACTCGAGGCAGAGCGACCCGACGAAAGAACTGTCTCTGTCATGCTACCTGGTAATGCATAGAGTGCTAGTAGGAAGTATAGCAATATGATAAAGAGAGATGGATAGAAGAGGAGGAAAATGAGAGCTGCATGTACATGTACATGTAGATCCTTAATCTGTCAGCATTACATTACCTACATGTACTATATGTAGCATAAGGAATCATTACATGTGTGGAGCCAATTTTGGTCCATTATTCCAGTTAGACCATAGGCATTAGGTGCAATGCAACACAGTTTTTATTTTTATTGCATTTTCTGATATATTTATGTCTATATGCTACATATTGTGTATGTATACTGTACATGAACATACATACGATCCTCAGCTTAACAAAGGGAATATAAATGTAACTTGAGTTACTAAATCTAAAGGATTCAAGCTAAAGGAGGAAAGAAAGAAGAGACAGAGGGAGCAGACAGATAGGATTTAATGATAATTTTTACGTACATGTATTTGTGGTGTATGTACATGCATGTACATGTGTATATAATTAAAACCACTAATAACAATTAATGAAAACAGAGGGAGAGGGAAGAGGAAAGAGAGTGAGGGAAGGAAAGCAATAGACTTGTATACAAAACTATTATTATTATTATTATTATTATTATTATTATTATTATTATTATTATTATTATTATTATTATTATTATACAACATTATTATTTTTATTTTTATTTTAGCTCACAAGCCAGCAGAAGTGGTCAATCTTGAATTATATCAGATCCCCGGTCTACCAGTAAATGCAATTGATTCTGAGATCACACTACGGCCACGCCTTCTCTTAGAAGACAAGTTACTCTACACAGACATGAGTAGCTATTTGGCAGAGCTACTGGTACAGAGTGTCACTGATAAAACACAAGTAAGAGGAGGGGTCATATTGCTACTTGTACAGCTCTTTTTAATTAATATTATAAATTTACATGTATACATGTACAGATGTATCATGTATACATGTATACATGATACACATGTAGTTGTGTTGCATGGAGATGTGTAGTATGTACAGTACTTGTGTGGCATTGTCATTTAAATTTAAGAATAGCATTATAATCATGATGGAATTGAATTACAATTGACTCGATCCTTTAAATATTTTTTACGTACATGTACATGTACATGAATGTGCAACAACAGTTTGAGGTGGGGTGGCACGTTGCATGTACAAGTACATGTACATGGAAATGTCCTCTCTACATTATGACATGCTAAGCTGTTTTGATGCCTTTGTATGCATTTGGTAACTATTTTCATTTTCAGTATGAATATAAGGTACAGTTCATGTACATATACTGACCATTACAGCACTTTGTAATTACTGACAAGTTTTTGATGATATACAGTAACATTTATAATACTGTAATAATGAGGATATTAATGCCTAATGTACTCTTGTTTTATGATTTCATTTATCTTTTAATTGTAGGCATTCTACTCCGTTTTACCGCCTCTGGCTTCACTTGATGAGAAAATGTTAGAGGATTTCGACAAGGAACTAACATCTGCCGTAAAGTCAGTGGAGCTTCCTGATGGGTGGAGCTTACTTCAATGTGAAGGTATATCAAAAGAAACGATCTTACTGTACATGTACATGTATATTTAAATGTATGTCTATAAGGACTATGCATACATGTACACGTACATGCACATTGTGTCCTTAGGAAAAATTTATATAATATTTATTTTTCAAGCCATAAGAGTGTCTTCTTTGACCTCTTTGATGTTTGCACCTCAGCCAGATTGAGGCTAGTATACTGGCATGCACAGAGTTATACTGGATATTTAGTTTTGATAGCAATATGCAGATTGTGTCCATGTACATGTATATATACACAGTGCATGGGAACTGGGCTGTGGGAACCATTTACTTATAATTTAATTATATCTTCATTCTTTCCTTCTCTTCTTTCTTTGCATGCATCATCTTCTCATTTTCTCCCTCCCTCCCTCTCTCTCCCTTCTCTCTATCACATGCGTCTCATCTTTCCCTCACAGACAATAATACTCTTCTTCATTTCGCTGCACGTAACTCTCTACCACAACTCTTCTCCCTCCTCCTATCATTCCCTGGTGGAGGTACTGCCCTGACACTGAGGAACAGTGATGGGAGCACTCCCTTTGACTTGGCTAGGCAAAGCAACAGGACATCTGTCAAAGCTATCCTTGAATGGTAATGAATGTAGGCCATGACACCTGTTTGTACATGTACACATCGCGCATTTAATGTGATCACTAAGTTTATGCGTGTACATGTGTGTGAGGCAATTATCTGAAAGATGAGAGAGAGAGAGGATGTATTGTGCGTGTTTCCAGTGTCCCCTGGTTGTAGAATGTCCTTGTAATTTGCTTTGCCACACACAGGATTGGTTTAGATGGAGTTCTTACGTCAATTAGGGACATAGTTTACCCAAAATAATAATAACATGCATTTCATTCACAACCAAACGTGTGTGTGTGTGTGTGTATGCTTATACTATTTACAATACAAGGCACAAGCTTATATTGTAAATAGTACTTGTATCAGCTTTTTCATACTCTTACATTGTACTTAATTTGTAAACTTTATCCTCATTTTGCCACACATGATTTCCTTTTGCATTCATGACCTCTCTCTCTCTTTCTCTCTCTCTGTCTGTCTGTCTGTCTGTCTCTGTCTCTCTGTCTCTCTCTCTTTTTTTCTCTCTCTCTCTCTCTAGCTCAAATCTTCTTGCTTCTCCTCCTCCTGTTATGAATATTGCTTCAGCTGAAGTCCAGTTACTACAGGATATTAATGCTTTATGGATACGTGGTCAAAAGAGAGACAACCCCTCTCTCTTGGAGCTCCCCCCGTGGGAACTCAATCTCACTTTTTTGCGCCAGCAGATTTCTGCAAGTATCGTGGACGACAGTCGCTTGTTAGGTGCTTCAATTTCAAACCCCGCCTCTTTTAATAAGGGGGAGGAGGCCTCACCACTGCCTCCTAATGTAGGGGAGGTTTTGATACGAGGCTGTGTCCGGAAGGCGTGGTCACGTGTTGTTGGAAATGGGCGGAGTCGGTCTGTTGGCACCGGATTAAACGAACTTCATAGACTGCAAGGTAACATTATGAGCAGTATCTATGTGTATATAAGTGTATAGTTGTGGTTATTTTGGTCTTGGCAGTGAGTTAAGTTGTTCATGAGAATTGGTCGTGCATGACTTCATTGGGTTTGCCTTGTGTGTATTTTACTGGGGAATACCCCTAGCTGTTTATTGTTATCATGTACTTAATATATGGATACATGTACACATGTAAGGGAGAGAGAGAGAGAGAGGGGAAAGAGATTAAGAGGGAGTGAGAGATAGAGAATCAAGTTCTTGTGATAAGATTAAAGTGAGTGACAAAAAGGATAGATGTTAATTAATTATACTGGTACATGTTAATTAATACACTGGTACATGTACACTTTGCAAGTACAAAGGGAGGGTCAAGAGATGAAAGGAATAAGTTCGTGTGTACATGATGAAACTGCAGTGGATGTGTCTATAGCACATGTACATGTATGTGAGAGAGAGATGTAAGGTGTACATGTACATGTAATAATGATGCAAGTACATGTACATGTGGAGTTATACAGTACATGTACATTTGTATAGTATCTGTTTATGTGATGTTACTATGTTTATATACAAGAGGTTACCATTTCCTTCTCCCTCCTCTCTCTCTCTCTTTCTCTCTCTCTCTCTCTCTCTCTCTCTCTCTCTCTCTCTCTCTCTCTCTCTCTCTCTCTTTCTCTCTCTCTCTCTCTCTCTCTCTCTCTCTCTCTCTCTCTCTCTCTCTCCTTGTTCGTGTATTTATAGAATCTCAATCACTTATAGAGGCTCTTAAGATCAAGGCATCCGAACGTGTTCTTAATAAGGAGGTGGGGCCTTGTGGGTGGAGCATATCATGTCCTAGTCTCTGTGACGGCAGTGTCACTGGTAAGTTGTATGCTACATTGTACATGCTCTTTTTTTACTCATACTGTATACATGTATGTCACATGCTGTCCGTATGATAAATAAAACCCATAAATAACCTTTTCTTTCTCTTCTTTTCATTAGAATTAGTCCATTCCTTAACCAGTTCCGGTTCCAATATTGAAAAGCCGGTAGCACCAAACGGATTCACTCCCACCACTCCTGTACCTGACCACACCCATCAACCGTCATCTGACACACCCCACAATTCTCTCGAGACTGACCTCGTCTCCTCCACCTCTCCCCACCCTCTCCCTCTCGTTTGTGTAGAGAACACAGAGAGAGGTGACAAAGTCTGTTTTGCTCCTTCTGCAATCAAAACTCAACAAGAAGAGGAGGAGGAGGAACAGTTTTTCAGTATGGCTGGTTATGCTCACTCTTCAGGCGAAGAGAGTGAAGAGCCTAAGACGACTCTCCCTAATCCTATACAAAAGAACCTTTTTTCAAAATCCGCTCCTACTTTTGTTGAAGCCGAGACCCAGCCCAGCACCGTGGATGCTGATTATGTCATCATTGACTCCATTGCCCCGCCCATTAACACTTCTAACGAAGTCCCAGAGCCTCGGGTACCTGATGTGTTACCCTCTGACGCTCTTTTAGCCGGTAAAGTTGCGACCACTCCCTCTACCCCTGTTAGTACCCCGCCTATACATGTACGCACTCACAAGAAGAGTCACAGCTTGTCTGGCGTCATGTTTGCCGATCATGGAACGGAGCAGGAGAGACGGCTTGACACTGCCCAGTCCAACGCTAGCAGCATGATGAGTATCGACAGCAGCAAACCTACAACAACCACCACCAGTAGTTACACGAGTAGCGAGGACGACGAAGAAGATGAAAGTGCTTTTGAAACGGCTAATGAAGTCAGCTTCAAGTCCAAGTCTGGCGTTTCAATAGACGACAGTCCTTTCGTCTCGTTGGAAGGATCCTTTCCTTTTAAGCCGTACCTCGTCTTGGATCAGGAGAGAAGAGCTAGTGAGGATGATGTTGATGGAGGAGCTGATAAAGAAGAGGAGGAGGAAGAAGAGAGAAGGAAGCTCTCTCTCATTCAGGAAAGACGTTACTCTCTTAATGTCATCACCAATATTGATGACTTTAGTGCTAGTAGTGAAGATGATGCTGGTAATGTGTACATGTACATGTATATGTAGTATCTCATACACTACGTATCATGTTTTTTCTTCATACTATGGTTTTGATTGTTTAGCCAGATTGTCATGTTTCTATACTCTTGATTGAACTACATGTACTGTACATGTGCATGTAGAAAATGTACGCACCTAGCAATTTTGGCATTGGATTTCTATTACTATTACATGTACATGCTACGTACATGTACATGTATATGTGCATGTAATTGTTCTTTTTTTCTACAGGTAACCAGGCCCTAAGGCGGAGCACCAGATCACCTGACTCAGTGACACCAACCCGTCAATCGACTGAAATGTTATCAAACCGTACTACAAGCGAAGGAGACATGACTTTATCTGATATCGAGGTACAAGTCGGAAGCTTAGAGGAAGACAAGATGCCACAGAAGACCAAAGAGTCTCCGCCGACTAACCCCGCCCCTCTCTCGCCAGCAAGCAGGTCACCACGAGTTCATCAAAGGACTCCTAGTACTCCCATTATACCCAGCACCTCACCAGGACCCATATCAAGGACAGCTCACGACGCTAAACACACCATAAGGTTACTAAAAGCATTGACACAAGAGGAACCACTCCCCATTAAAAAGTCTCGTTCAGAGACCCTCCCTGCTATTACAATGCCCTCTGATCCTCTCATTCCTGTTGCCTCCGCCCGTTTACCGGGTGGAGTCCTTCATACTAATATTTCTCGTAATGCCTCCTCTGCTTCTGATTCTGTCGTCTCTTATCAGTCCTCACCACCTCTTCAAAAGGGCGGGGTTTTGGGTTCTTCAAGTTTAGATTTTGTCAAGCCACCAGACGGAAGGAGCTCCGCCCGAAGCTCATCTCGAGCCTCATCTCGTGTGTCGGAATCGACTACACCTCTCCCGCCATCTCCTCTATACTTTAGCAAGAGTCCACGGTCTTCACCACGTCCATCACTCGTCAAAGAAGTATGCCATTCCCCGACCGGTCGTACCGCTGTGACCTCTGTCACCTCTCCTCTCGACAAGAAAGCTAAAAGTGTTGATAATTTATTAGACGAATCGACCAATCAGGAAAGAGATCAGAAAAGTGTCAAATTCAAGCAAGAAGACGTTGAGGACGATGAAGAAGAGTTTCGTGGTAGTCAGCGTAAGGACATACAGTCCTATCTTGGTATCATAGACCCAATGGCTCGCGAGCAGCCCAAAAGCAAGGGGATCTCAAAGCTCTTCCGGCGTGACTCAAAGAAAGACAAACAACGATCGACAAAGAAGACGGACAGTCTTACGTCCCTTGACTCTGTCTTCATGAACAACGGACAGCAATCGTCACAAGAAGACGGGAAGAACGGTGGCCCTCAACCGGGCAAGATAAGACCTAACTCATCAATTCAGGCAATGACCTCTGTACCAGGCACATCGCAGTCACCTGTCATTCGTAAGCCAAGAGCTAACACCATACACGACATTAATGTAACCACAACCAGTGAACTAAAGGCTCTTCCTGACACTAGGAGACTCAGTGGAGGAGTAGGAGGAGGTGGAGTAGAGGAAGAGTTTGTCCCTCCTTCCTCTCCGAGGAGTAAATCTGAAGGAAGTACTACAACTGAAGTGCCAGAGCTACCAGACGAGAACTCTCTCTCAGTGAGTATTGACGATCATCCTCTCCTAGCGGAAGATGATGACACTGAGGTTTCTTGGTACCAGACTATAGACCGTAGGCTTCGGCGCTCCATTAATAAACACGAGAAAGGACGTCAGGGAGCCATTTTTGACTTTATACGTACAGAGAGACACATACACAAATCTGTCCTTGTTTTAAAGTTGGTGTTTAGGGACAAGCTTGCATCAGAGCTCGGGATGTCTGAAGAGATTCTAAATCATCTTTTCCCTTCGCTTGATGAGCTAATGGTTGTCACTGAAGAGTTCCACAATAAGCTTGAGGAAAAGCAGCAACCTTCTTCAATGATGGTTAGCGATATCAGCGACATACTACTGGAGCAGTTTACCGGGTTTTACGGGAAGAGAATGAAAGACGCCTACACTAACTTTATCTGCCGTCAGTCGGAAGCCTTGGAGCTTTATCGTGACCTGGAGAGAAGGAAAGCTAAATTTGCACGTCTTATGACCCTCTTGTATGCAAAGAAACAATGCGAGAGACGGAAGCTACCTGACTTCTATCTGCTCATTACGCAGCGTGTAGCCAAATATGTGGAGATGATGAAGAAGCTTGTCAAGGAGACCGACGCCCTTAAACTAGACCACTTAGATAGACTAAAGAAGGCAGATAAAGCACTGCAAGAGCTCGTGGCATCCATTGATAACGGGGTCTTACAGTATGAGAACAGGAAGAAACTTGAAGATATTCAAAGCAGACTGGAAATACACGTAGGTTTTGGTGTGGCTTTAGATATACATGTAGAATCATGTACACAATTCCATGTGTACATGTACGATAGTAACAATACATGTCTTTATTCTTGTTTCTTAGTGTACAACTGCACTGGTTGGCCTTATGGGGTGACTGCTTTGGCTGTCTAGCCTTTGGCCGGATATTGTAGACCCGCTAAGTGTCCCCTCATGTTTATACAGAGGGCATTGTGTAGCATAGACTGCCAATTTCAATTCAATCATTTTCACGGGCAGTGGGCCAAATTATTATTAATTTTATTGTAGTGCATTTACATGTACAGTGTACATGTACATGTATATGCACATGTACATGTACTGCAACTTCCTTCTTAACTACAGTATACGCGTACAATGTACATGTATCTGTATTGTGTGTGATACATGTTGCATTGAAGTCTTACTACTATAATGCATTGTAGTTGTACACAATGTAGTGCAGGTGTGTATTTGTGCGTGTGTGTGTGTGTGTATTATCTACTAATTTGGTATTGTTTATGTTCTGTTGCTATAGACAGCTACTCCGTTATGCTATGACATGTGTTGTTTTGTAGTTTCACTTCATATTGTTTACCAAACACTCACACACACACACGCACTTAGGTGCTGTTATCGCCATAGATACTCATCCACTTGGTATTGAAATGTTCATGATCATCATCTCTCTCTTCTTCCTCTTCCTCCTTCTCTCCTTCCCTCCCCCTCTCTTTCTCTCTAGGTTCCTCGTAATTATAAGCAGTATTCTAAACTGAAGGGACTCAAATCTCTTGACTTGCTTGCTCAGAATCGTGTCCTCATCAACACTGTTGATGTTCACTGGAGTGGAAGTGGCAAATCAATAGGTAAAGTAGCTAACCACATCAATTTAGTGTAATTTAAGATGAATAAATTGTGCCAGAACCAGCTTAAACTTTCTACATAGCCTAAGGGCATCGATATGTATTGAAAAATGTAATAAAAGTTAAGGATTATTTCAGAGTCATTTTTTGAAGAAAGCATGGGCTATAGTACAGGGTATTTTAAAGAAATTTGCCAATTTTTAAAAATGGCCATAACTCAAAAATTTTTAGTTGGAATCACCTCAAACTTTCTACACAGCATAAGGATATCAATATGTATTTGAAAATTTAATAAAAATTGGGGGTGATTTTTAAGCCATTTTTCAGAAAAAAGCATGAGCTATAGTACAGGGTATTTATAAGAAATTTGCCAATTTTTAAAAATGGCCATAACTCAAAAATTTTTAGTCGGAATCACCTCAAACTGTCTACACAGCATAAGGACATCAATATGTATCAGAAAATGTAATAAAAATTGGAGTTGATTTTTAAGCCATTTTTTGGAAAAAAGCATGGGCTATAGCCTTGGGTATTTTTTGGAATTTTGACGTTTTCTTAAAATGGCCTTAACTTGAAAAGTTGAAGTGGGAATCAGCTCAAACTTTCTACACAGCATAAGGACATCAATATGTATCAGAAAATGCAATAAAAATTAGGGGTGATTTTTTAGCCATTTTTTGGAAAAAAACATGGGCTATAGTACAGGGGATTTTTCAGAAATTTGCCAATTTTTAAAAATGGCCGTAACTCAAAATTTTTTAGTCGGAATCACCTCAAACTTTCTACACAGCATAAGGACATCAATATGTATCAGAAAATGTAATAAAAATTGGGAGTGATTTTTGTTCCACACATACATGTACATGTACATGTATGCATTTTATTATTTTTAACTGTCTCTCATTGTTCGTGTATATGTAGCTGTATTGCTGGTACTAGTGACTGATCTTATTATATTATTAACTGAGAAAGATCAGAAATACCACTTAGCCACACTGCATGATATGAAGGTAAGAAAATAATACATTAGGTCAAGTGATATTCATACGTGCATATTATAAAATTCTTATTACTATATTGCTGTTTTTTTTTACTAACACTCTTATGGCCTAAATTTGAAGTGCTCAACTTCAAAAATTGTGATAAAAATCAGCTCAGAATTTAGAAATCTAATAAAAATGGAGAATTCTCTCCCACCCCATTTACATATCATCTACAGTGCAGTGTACATGTACATGTACATGTATGTTAGTGTCTTCACTCTCTCTCTCTCTCTCCTTAGCCTCCTGTCATTCGTTTGTATGATCTTCATGTTCGTGTGAATGCTTCAATAAGATCGGGTGTGCAGCTACTACTCCTGGAGCAAGGACTCAAACCGGCCATGTTTTATATCGAATTCTCTTCAAAGAAAGAAGCAAAAGTGTAAGAGAAATGAAGGAGTGATTATTGATAAGAGAGGCATACATGTATACATGTACATGTACATACATTATAAATGTATATACAATTATATACTTTATCATTGCTTATAGGTGGGAGGAGAGGTTAAATAAAGCTGTTGAGTACTGCAGACGAAATGATTTAAAATGTGGTAAGTCGCACATTTGTATTTCCACAACAAATTTTACGTGTGCATGTTTTTCAGAACACTTGGGGGTGGAGCCTATTTTATCGGGCGATGAGTGTAAAGATGAAGATGAATTTGACGGAGACATTGATCCATTACCTGATCTTAGCCCTGAGTGAGTTCCTCTTATTATAATATAGTACATTTTATGTAAATGTACATGTTTTTGTGTGGTGTTATGTACATGTACATGTAAGTTACATGTACATTTATTTTAGGGCAATTCGACGAATGATGATACACCAAGCTCTTTCCCAGGCTCACCAACACATCACCATGGCAACGGCCGCCTCCCTCCCTAACCCGCCCACTCATGAGGTAACTGCCCGTCACTCCCTTGCCACCGCTCCATTAGCTCATCGGAACCACCAGTTGCCACCGCACGCGCCTAGAAACAAACCAGTTAGATCAACAACCTTTCATGCCGTGAGGACACCTAGTCTGGATACCATTGAACCAAAGAAGAAGAAGAAGATGCCCGATAGAGGATTGAGCTTCTTGGACAAGAAAGACGACCCTGCTCAAGAGAAGAAGGTGAGTCGTAGTTTGTGGTACCAGAATAAGGCCGTTATTAATTTATTATTATTGTGTTTTTACTTTACGTACATGTACATGTGTAACCGTACCTGTAGTACCTTTTTGTATTTGAATATGTTACACGTGCATGTATTATTATTATTGATGTTTTTTTTATAGAATTTGTTGGAGTGTATCAGTAATTTAAAAGATTGTGTTGAATATTTACTGGTAAGTTTAGAGTAATAATATCCATCAAGCCTTGCATGTTCAATATACGTCTTTCTCTCTCTCTCTCTTTAGAAGGAGAACGAAACCAAAAGTGAAGAAATGGCCAAGTAAGTTTTTGTCTCTACTAGTAATTAACCCTTTATTAACTTGGTTTAGGCTTAGACACGAACTGGAAGAAGCCAGATCGTCGAATCGTTCGAGCCCTGTCTCTCTCTTTCGATCCCACTCCGCCCAGCGGCCGAGAAGCGGCAGGCCTCATTCCATTCACAGCGACTTATTGAAAATGGAGGATCTTAAGAAAGAAGGAGAGAAAAATGTTAAGTTTAGAGAAGGGTCGCCTTCTTTTCGTCTTCGGAATCAATAACGATATCATTTTTACATGTAACTGTCATTTATCGTGTATTTTACATTTAAATTCACTTTCTTCTGTACATCTTACTCCCCCTCTCTCTCTCTCTCCCTCCACTTTTTCCAAAAGCTGGTAAAAAATATATTCATTATTATTATTATTATTATTATTATTAAAAGTTTATTATGATTATTTTCACTGACAATAATTAATAATAATAAAATTTTCTGTATCATATAAAGGTTAAACACTTCATTTTATCGATGAATATTACCAGGCCCCTTACATGCACCTCCTCTTCACGTGTTCTTCACAATAAAATAAAATATATAATTGGCACATTATTATGATAATAATTATTGTATGTTATTTTAATTTAAAATAATGAAATATCGATAATAAGTTCATTCTAGTAAGGTATGATTAAAATAAAAACACTAGCTGTCACGTTGACCTTTATTTAAGTTATACCTACAAGTAGGACACGTACCACGCTAAAGAGGACGAGAGAGAGAGGAGGGAGAAGGAAAGAGAGAGTTAGAGTCAAAAAATGAAGCAAATAAGAGAAAAATTTTTAAGTTAAGCCTTACCAGTTTTAACCAGGCCACAATACAGTGACTGTGAAATATATGCGTGCAAGGAAGTTCCTTATATTCATCGTTAAGGACAAATGTTTCTTTACATATGGAGCATTCTGACTCTAGAGATAACGAACAGTCACATGACTACAGATCACGTGATGATATACATGAGCTGTACCTCCATTAACTTGTTCCTGAGTGATATTTGAGGTTGGTAATTGCATTATTTTTGTTTCGTCCGCTGGAGGGGGCCCACCAGAATTACTTAATTGTTCCAGCAGCTAAAAAGAATATAAAAATTTTTATAATGATATCCCTCTCTCTTCATCTTGTCTTACTCCAGTAATGACTAGTTCTAGAGCACCTGGGCCAGCCACGCCAGTCCTTGGTGCTGATGGCTCAGAGCGTCTGCTTCTAAACATCAACTCACTAAAAGGAAAAGAAAAACATTTAAAAATAATCACAAAATTATATACAGTCTCTCACAGGAATTGTGGCGGGGGAGGTATCACGGGTAAAGTATAATTTTCAGAATCCTCCAATTGTTCTAAAAAACAAAACAATAATAATAATAATAATAATAATAATAATAAACAATAGTTCCACCCACCTCTCGCTGCTATAAGTTGTACTAAATACTGCCCTAACATTCTAAAAGAATAAAATAATGAAATACTTGCCACATAGCAAAGGACTCACTCTCCTAATTGGTCCCTTTGTCTTGGTCTTTGCTCCATAGGAGGTGAACGATTTCTGTGTCTATGCCTGTGTGGTGACTGTACACGTACATAAAATTAAAAATTGTGTTATTATTTTGTTGTTGTTGTTTGTGTTTACTTGTTGTGTATTACGAGGTCGGACAAGTCCCCGGTGAGGAGGAGAAGGGGGAGGAGAGGGAGGTCTGAGAAAGAGAGGGATAAACAAGAGTACATGTTACATGTATCACCTTTCATCTTCTTCTTCTATGACTTCTTCAAGTTGCTCTACAAACTCTTCCTCGCATTGTGGACACTTGGCAGTCTGTCAAAATCATCTCAAACGCTTTGTATGTACATTAGCAAAACTTACATCGGACAGAAACTGGTTATCACAGGTATAGCAGAAAAATCTGAAGCTCTTTTGAAAAGGTTCGTTAGCCGCCATTTTGTTCACGGCCACGCCCTTCAATTAGCCCAAGCGTGTGTGGGAGTTATGATCCACCCACGCATTCATTTCTGATTTTCTAATGGTGACAGTGCAAGTAATGGCGGATTTTCTGAAATATTAAGTTTATTATTGTGTTTTTGCAGGTACTTTTTTTTGCTAAAAGTCGTGAGCTTACAGGTTGCAGTCAAACTCAGCTCACCACTCCATCTCTAACGACAGGACGAGCTTTACTAGAAGCCATTGTCAACGCCCACCCAGAGTATGTTATTAATAATAATTATTTTGTCATTATTACCGTTATTATTATTATTGTTGTTATTTGTTTCTTGTTGTCACTATAGGTTGGGTTTGATCAAAGACAATCTTATTCTTTCCGTTAATCTCTCCTACATCTCACTCACTGATAATCTGTCCTTGTCTGAAGGCGATGAGATAGCAGTCATACCACCAATATCAGGAGGATGAGTAATAAATGGTCATTTATTTTTTATTTATTTCATGATTAAAATTTCCCGGGAAAAGTTAATTTTTCTGGCAAATTTACCAGGAAAAAATTAATTTAATTTCTCGAGATAGATTAATTTTTCTGGCAAATTTACTGGGAAAAAATTTTTAAATTCCCAAAATTTAATACTTATGCATGTGTCTTAAATTTGTGATCAGATACTCCCCTTCATTTTTTATTAGAAGTTATTTATTTTTTGACAGTGCATTTGTTTATCTTTCAGTGTTGATTTGGTATTAATTACACCCGAACCACTGGATGAGAGCAAAGTACGCTCGTATGTGAGTGATAATACTGCTGGGGCTATATCTATCTTCATTGGTAGGATAAAATAGTTTGGTTATACAATATAAGCTCTCCTTCTCTCTCTCTCTCTCTCTCTCTCTCTCTCTCTCTCCTCTTTCTCCCTTTCCCTCTCTCTTTTCACTTTTATTGAAGGCACCACACGGAATCATTTCAATGGTAATTCTCCTTGTCGCACTAAAGACAATTCTATTGTGTGTCTTAAATAGGGAAAAAGGTGCTAAAACTAGAGTATGAGGCCTACACAGCAATGGCTGTTAAACAATTGCAAGAAATATGTAATGATGCTCGTTTGAAATGGTCCCTATGTAAGATGGCTGCTGTTCATAGGATAGGGTAGGCATTGCTATAGTAGTCTCTCACAATCCTTTCTTTTACAGTGAAGTCCCTGTTGGTCAACCCAGTGTCATGGTTGCCATCTCTTCAGAACATCGTCATGATGCCATTTCAGCTGTATCTTATGTCATTGACGCCATTAAGGCATCTACTACAATATGGAAGAAGGTATGTCCAGTATTTGTGTTTTGTAGTACAAGTGTTATTGTTGCTTTTCATATAACATGTACTTGTAGTTCCTATATAAACCACATTCTTATCAATGGTTATTTATTTTAGCCTTATATAGCCTTAGCCTTAGCCTGTGTATTGATGGTGGTATATCATTTGTATGGCTTCATGTATATGCACTCATTTGGTTTGTAGGAGGTGTATGAAGATGGTGAGGGCCAATGGAAAGCCAACAAGGAGTGCAAATGGCTCAATGAAGATAAAGGAGCACCTTAGAAATCAATATAATATTTTTAATATTTTTCGCTACTATTTATAATTGTAAATTAATAGTCACTAATAGAGTCTTGGTTCATTTAGCAGCAAACATGCAAAATTAATACTCAGTCTCTGGTCGTTCCTTTATCCACTTGCTCATGTTGGCATCACCTTCAATGTTCTTCCTCAGACTAGCAAGTCCAGGGAAATTTGAAAGCACTTCTGGATGTCCCTTTATGACATAATCCAGAATAGAATAGAGCTGGAGATCAGGCCATGTCAGACGACCACAGCAAAGATACCCAGTGGCGGCTGTCAATTCATTCAGCTTTCCAAAAGTTTTTGGAATTACTTCCTCAGTGAAACGTTTCTGGAGCTCTTGCTTTCTTGTCTCATCTTTTTCATAGTGGACTTTGGTCATCTCTCTGGTAAAATCCGTTATGAAGTCGGATATGTTAGCTAGATGGGCATTGTCCCATGCATTAGACCCAGCCAAGCCATACTTCTCTCCCAAATATCGGAGGATTACAGCACTGCCTCCAAGCTTCTTTCCATCTTCTTCCAGGACTGGCATGACTCCAAATGGCGTGTTTGGCTTCTCCTTCTGCCAGTCTTCTCCTGCTAGGCGAATGTCCTCATACTTGATCTCCTTGTGTGCGAATAAGAGTCTCACTGGCTCTCCTGCTCCTCGAGCTGGGAAATAGAAAAGCTTATAGGTAGCCATGTCTTTCTGAAAAAACGAGTACAGTTTCCTAGTCTCGCGTAGCCAGACCACACCCTCCGTGCCTCCGGGAGGGTCTGGTCAACTGAGCATTCCTTCTTCGTTCTGCTTCACCCAAAACTGGGTGAACCGGATGCGGTTACACGTGGTCAACTGACGTAATGTCGACCCGTATAC